GCCTGCTGCCTCAGCCTCTCGGCGTACTGGTGACTAAGGCTGCAACCACCTCGGCCGCTAATTTTTCTTTTTCTACTATAATATTAGTTGGTCAATTAATTTCTTTCTATGTTATACTTAGAGACGGGGTCTGCTCTTGCTCAGGCTGTTTCCGACCTCATGCTCGAGCTATCTGCCCGCGACTCGGCCTCCAAGTGCCAGGATCAGGTGTGAGCCCCACCGGCATGCCCAGCCGAAACAACATAGGGAACAAAATTTAAAAGTTGTTAGTGAGCTGTGAATGTGCTCACTGCACAAAAAAGAATCCCTGTCCCGACTAAAAATAAACAAGAAAATAACTAAAAGAATAACAATCAAACATAAAAAACAGAAAAACAACAGACATGGCGGCAGATTTGGGGGCCCAGAGGAGCAGAAAAAAGTGCCCTTAACACCAACCCCCAAAATGCGTGGAGAAAAGCCCCTCACACGGGAGCATTCCAAAGGAAGATCTCCACAAAAGGACCAACAAAACTTGTGGACAACAAAAAACAACAGGTGTCCCCTAAAGCTAAAAACAACACACAACAAAACCGAGGGCCCCAGCACCCCGCGCTCCAAAAAATTCTCCGCTGGCTCACTCTTAAAGACGAAGCCCAGGAAGGTGCCGTCCGGGCCAGGTGTAAAAAAAAAACTGGTACAAAAAAAACAGATGGCCCTTGTACATATGATCAAGGGACACCAGCCCAGGAGCCGCCCAAATGGCGAAAAGACAAGATCATCAACAACGGCCGTGGGCAGCTATGTACAAACAAAAAAACAACGAGCATCAGAAAAGTGTGAGGACAGGACTGGGGCTGGCGCGCACAGATCCAAACCCTATAACAAACCCTATATCTACAACAACACAATAAAAATAACTCAAAACAACAAAAAAAATGCCACCCCAATTGGCGGCAAGGTTCCTGAAACTTAAAACTGAATGAAAAGCGTCAGACATACAGGTGCCAATAAGAAGTCCAGGCCACACAAAAACAACCTCGGGGTCCAGTCCCTATTGACAAAAAGCCCTTCTCAGGGATTGTAAAAAAACATACCGGAAAACACACCAAAGTGATGTAGCACACGCGCCTTGACTCAATACAAACCAGGAATATGCTTGTATGAACAGTCACAAGCCCGGTGGCTGCAACATCTTTTGAGGTGGTTGGGAGCCATGCGGAGGCTCACTGGGCCCTCCAGAGGGCTTGCAGGGAGGGCGGCCACGTGGGGGGGCGCTGGGGTGCATCCCCATCATCCAGAAATGGATGCCCAGTCTGGGAACCTTGCGGTCTCCAGCAGGATCACTTGAGCCCAGGAGTTTGAGGTTGCTGTGAGCTAGGCTGATGCCATGGCATTCACTCTAGCCTGGGCAACAGAGTGAAACTCTGCCTCAAAAAAAAAGAGAAAAAAGTCCCACGCTCAAGTGATCCTCCTGCCTAAGCCTCCCAAGTAGCTGGGACTAAGGCACACACCACCACACCTGGCTAATTTTTCTGTTTTTTTGTAGAGATGGGGTCTCGTTCTTGCTCAGGCTGGTCTTGAACTCCTGGCCTACGAGCAATCCTCCCATCTTGGCCTCCCAGAGTGCTAGGGTTACAGGTGTGAGCCACTTGGCCAGCCCAGCCAAGATCCAATCTTTTGAAAAGGCATTTTAGTGACAGGTTTTATCTTCTTGTAATTTAAAACATAAGTCAAGGAGAGGCAGGTGGCGAAGAGATGAGGTGGAGCCCCGGGCCTGCAACTCCCTACAGTGACGGGCTTAGAGTGTTTTTCCTGCCAGCTTTCCCAGGGGGGTCATTCCTCTTTTCCTTAGAGACTTGTGGAAGCATTTTAAAATATAATATGGGTATTAACATTTCCTGACTATTTGGCAAATATTTTCTTTCACCCTCTTTTTAAAATCTCTTAACTTTACCAACGATGGCTATAATTTTTAGTGTATTTTCCTAAAGACTTTCATTTTTCAGAGGTAAAATCTACCCTTTCCTGTCAACCCCATCGCTTCTGGGACAGAAGCCCGCCACCATGGCGCCCTGCCCCGCAGGGAGTCCCGTCCCCTTCCCTTGTGCCCCGGGGGTGATCACCTCCTGTGGCTCCATGAGACCCTGTGGTGGCCTGAAATGGTAGAAATGCCCTTCGACAGACTGTGCACAGCGCGACCCTACTGGGCGGAGCAGGAGGGGCGGGACAGGGGGACCCCCACACGCAGGCGATGATGCGAAACGGGCTGGGTGTATTAATTCGGGAGAACTCGACTCCCTTCGCAGCCCCCGCGCCCTGACCTGACCATGTCGCAGCACAAAATATGCACGCCACTGACCCTGGAGATGTACTACACCGAGATGGACCCCGAGCGCCACCGCAGCATCCTGGCGGCCATCGGGGCCTACCCGATCAGCCGCAAGCACGGCACGGAGATGCCCGCGGCCCTGGGGGGCAACCGCCGCGCCGCCAAGGAGGAGCACAGCGGGCCCACCCAGGCGGCGGCGGCCACCCACCCGCCCGGGAGGCCCTCGGCCCAGGGGGACGAGGAGGAGGAGGAGCACAAGGCGGCCGGGAGCGCGCCGCCCCCGCCCCCCCAGTGACGCCTCGGCCCCGCAGCCCCCCAGGGTAGGTGTGCCTGCCGCTGCGGGGCTCCGGCCAGCTCGGTGGTCTCTCCCTGGCCTCCGCCTCTCTGCCCTTCCCCCGCAGTCCCGGGGCCGCCGACCCCGCCCGCCAGAACCTCAGCATGGCGCGTCCTCGCGCGCCCCTCCCGCGCGGCGCGGCGCAACCGGGTCTGGGCAGGTCCCTGGTGGGCGGCGGAGCTGGGGTCTTGGGGGTGGGTTGGAGTCCCGGGATGGGGCGGGGTCCCAGGGGCGGGGCGGAGGGGGATTGGGTAATGTCCCAGGGGCGGGACGGGGGAGAGGTCTGCTGGGGGGGATAGGGCGGAGTCTCGGAGGTGGGGGTAAGGTCTTAGGGGCGGGGCGGGGAGGGGTCTCGGGATGGGCGACCCGGTCCAGGGGGCGGGAGGGGGATGGGTTAGGTCCCGGCGGGATGGGGGAGGGGGTCTTCAGGGGGGGATAGGGCGGAGTCTCGGAGGTGGGGGTAAGGTCTTAGAGCAGCGGCGGAGAGGGTTTACGGGGGAGGGGCGGGGTCCCAGGGGCCGGAGGGAGGGGATTGGTAAGTCGCCAGGGGCGGGACGGGAGGGTTGCCGGGATAGGGGCGGAGTCTCGGAGGTGGGGTAAGGTCTTAGAGGCAGGGGGAGAGGTCTCGGGGGGATGGGCGGTCCTAGGGAGGGCGGAGAGGGTCCCGGGGATGGGAGTAAGGTCCCAGGGGCGGGGCGCGTGGCGCGGGGGCGGGAGGCGAGGCGGTAGTCCGAGTCAGAGAGGAGGATAGGGCGGGTTCCCAGGGGCCCCCGGGCCGGGGAAAGAACAGGTGTACGGGACTTCGGGGATCCAGCGGGGCGCTCGCAGTTCTCCCCCACAGGTGGGCTCTTGGGGCGTCCTGGGCGCCGGGCCCTGCCTCGCCGGCTCTCAGCCCCGCCCCGCTCTCTTCACAGCCGTCTCCCGCGGCTCCTGTGACCCGCGCGCCCGATGCTCTCGCACCCGTGTTCCTGCCCCTGGCCCCAGGGCAGCACCTCGGCTGGAAGCCCCGCCGCCCGGTGGGTCTCCGGCTCCTTCGCTTTTCTCTGAATAAAGATTCACATCCACCTGAGTCTTCCGCTTCTCCTCTGCTCTCCTCTGGCCTTCGTCTGGCCCAGCCGCGACCCCCCGCAGCCCGGCACGCTGGCCCGGGCCGGAGGAGTGCACGTGTCGCTGCGTCGGTCCAGGCCTCCGCTCCGTGCCCCGGTGCCGGCGCGGTTCCCGCGTCCGCCGTCCAGCCCGGTGCCCGGAGCCGGTCCAGCCTCCGCTGTCTGCCCGGTGCCCGGAGGCGGTCCCCGCGTCCGGCCGTCTGCCCGTGCCGGGCGCCCGGTCCGCCTCAGCAGCTCTGCCACGAGATGCCACGGCCGCAACCACAACCATCACAAGCATACCACAGGCAGTCCGCCGTCCGCCAAAGTGCCCGGCGCCCACCCCGCCTCCGCC